CCCCCCCCCCCCCCCCGAAAACTAAAAAGCCCCTCTCTGTCTCTCCCTCTTCCCCTCAATCTCTTGCCTGGCAGGGAGCAGAGAGGAAGATCAGGGACGAAGAGCGAAAGCAAAGCAAAAGAAAAGGCAAGTGCACTGATCCCAGCTCTCAGCTGAATGCCTGTAAGTAGAAATTATTCTATCGGTATTTTAAATATTAGCTCTCATTTTGGTTACAAATAACTTGTGCAGTAGAATTCTCCTAAATCAGTTTTTATCCCCTGTGGAGCAGTGTTTGTTTTAAGCACTTGTTTATGGAGCCATTAATCATGTTTTACAACATGCTGACTCACTTAGGACTTCACTTCTACCTAGTTCTTCCTGTCCAAGACAGGGTCCTGCTATGTTAAAGCAGCTGAAATGACAGGGTGAGCGTGTGATTTTGGGGGAACTGCTGGAACCCCTACAGCTCTGCGTGGCAGCAAGTACTGGAGCTGTTCCAAATGTTTCCGGCTTGATCCTAAACTTAGGCTTTAACTTCTGTTAAAAATGGGTTTATAACTGTGCAGCAACATGGTGGCTGTGCTGAGATGGAGCCTCCAGCCTCCCAGCCTTACGCTCACTCTTGTAGAGCGACGTGGTCCTCGGTCAATAATTTCAGTAGCAGTAATGAAGGGATCAGCACTTGATTGTGTAAAGGCTGTGGATCTTCTTTTGGCTGGCATCCTTCCTTTAACTGCTGACAAAGACCACAACAGATCCCGCCTTTGGATGAGTAGTTATTTGCCGACAGAGCTGCTGAGAGGAGGGTGTACGTCCCTGCTCTTCCTTTGCACCGGGCAGGTGCGTGCCCTCCTGGGCTCCGCTCGGTGCGCTCGTCAGAGCTGTGCTATTAACAGTCCAACTGGTTCAACAAGCGTTGCACCTCACGGCTTGCTGGGCAGGATTTTCCTGACACAGCAGGTACAGGCTGCTGGAGAAGCTTCAGAAGATTATGCTATGAGGGAACCTGTTTACTCAAGGGCAATTGCAGAAAGGGCTGGGTTTTCAGGTTTTTTTTTTCCCATGCTGGAAAGGTAGATTTAGCATACTTAGCGTTTCACAAATGTAGTAGCCCCAGTGGCTCCAGAAAGGTTCACAACCTTTTGTCTAATGGCTGGAAAGTGCAAACAGTTTCAGTACAGGTTTCCAGGATCTTATGATTTTAACAAAAGCTGCTTTCCAGTGTGAATTTCCTAGGCTGAGCTTACCCCAGGACGACCTTTATTCTCCTGGAAAGTACAAGCCATTGCTGTTTAGTTCTTGTGTGGGAAATTTTCAATTGCCTTAAGCCATAAGCTGCTATACCTACCTCCAGGATCACACATGTGTGCATGGACACATCAACAGCAGAAATAGTTTGACTTCTGGACAAAGTTATTTTTTGTACAGAGGCTAAACAGTCTTTTAAAACATCAATTTTGCAAGGAAAAAAAAAGTATGGAAAAAAAGTATTCTTTCCACTGAGGAAATGAGAAGTGAAGTGTTTTGCTTGCAACCCAAACACTTGGGGTTTGATCCAAAATCAAACTGTTTCCACTTGGTGAAATGAGTGGAAGTCTTCATCTGGGGTCAATTTGTCATGAATATGCCTGAAGTGCAGTTTAAGGCACATCCTGGTTCATTTTCTCCCAAATGCATCTCTGTGGGTGAAGTCTGCCCACTTGGTGCGATGCTTCACGTCAGCTGGTGTGTCACGAGAGCCAAAATGCTCTGTGAGAGACAGTGCTGGGCCTGGTTGGGGATGAGCTGGGATCTGGCAGCTTGAGGTGACCAGGATGAACAGCGAGATGAATAAAAATATAAAATTTACAAGTGTGGAATTGAAACGTAACTCTAAAGGTAGCATCTTGCAAGAAACAGTATTTTCTTGGGATGAGTGACCAGACCATTCTCTAGCCTGGTTTAATATCCAAACAAAGTCAAGCAGCTCACGTGGAGAGATGTAGCAAACTCTTCTGTGAAATGAGCTGTTGTCCCAGGGTCCAGACCCTCATCTGAGAGGTAGGTAGAAGACCAGGCTTCAAGCTCTTCTACCACAGAAGCTTCTCCCTTTGACCCTGAGTACAGAGTACCCTTGTTCAACAGTGTACGTGCCTCTTAATTGATGTAGGAAAGCCACAGCCCCATCGGTGTCTTCACTATCCTCTATTCCAATCTTTGGTCTCTCTCCAGTTTCTGATGTCAAAGTGCCAATGCTTCCCTCACATAAACGTACGGACATCACCATCTTCAAGCCCTTCATGGATCTGGACACTCAGCCAGTCCTTTTCATTCCCGACGTTCACTTTGCGAATCTTCAGCGTGGTGCTCATGTAAGTAAAGCTCCTGGGCGTGGGGATGAGGAGGGCTGCGAGATGGAAAGCCTGGGGTGCTGCGTGTACGTTATATATGCTAGATGCTGCGCGGATGCTGTAAACGAGGACAGGCTGAGTCCCATGTGAGCAAGAAGCGTTGTTCCTAGTCACATTGGCTGGAGTTAACGGGGGGTGTTTTATTCATAAATTATTTGCCTGTGAACCTGAAATGATGTTTCCAAAATGTCTCCAGCTGAGAGTTCACTGAATGAGCTGTAGGTTGTTTTTTTGGTGTGTTGTTTTTTTTTTTTAATCTCTTATAAAATTTATTGGGTTCCTGGTTGCACGGCTGTAGACCTCGGGCTCCTCCAGCCATTGCTGCAGGGTGAAGAGCCGTTCCGTGCAACTGGCAAGTGCATCGGCCCTGTGATCCGCTGCCAGAGCGCCCTGCCTCGGCGTTCCTGGAAAGTCCCAGCTGACAGGAAGCTGGAAGGGAAAAAATTAGAGTGCAACCAAGTTTCAAAACCTTGGAGCTTTCCTGTGCTGGGAGTTCTGGCATGCTCTAGCAGAATCTAAACCTTACTTTTTAAGAGCATTGCCTGAGATTCCTAAGAGAAGTGGAGAATAAATTTGTATCAGTAAGGCTGAGTTTTCTGCTTTACAGAGGTTCTGGTGCTGAGCTCTGTCAGAAGACTGTGCCAGTCCAGATAGAAAGCTCGTTACCTCTTGTATGTTCCTGTCTCCCTTGTTTGAGATCATTTACCTCTTTTCATAAAGAGAAATTAAAGGAGGTGCCTTACTGGTTTTTGGAAGGCTGAGCCCGAGTGTCGTTTGATACAGGGTTGAAAGATAATAAGAAATGAACTCTAGTTCTGGATCAAATTTTCACAACCCTAAACACAAGTATTATTTGTGTATTAAAATGAAGGCCAATGCATGTTTCTTGGACCACAGAATCTTGCTTCTAATACTGTGGTTGTGGCTGGTTCCCCACTTGCCATCCTTACTTACCCCTGTGTCCTGTACCGACATGTTCACGAGTGAGTTGGGTTGGTGAAGCATCTGCCTGTTCTTTGCAGCTCCTGCCATGGGCTCAGGGGTTTCCTCTCCTTTAACCTGATGCTGTTGGATCTGCATATGCCGGGTGCAGCAGGATTGTTGTTCCATGTCAGTGACTCTTGAATGCAAACAAAGCTTTTGCCAAGTCACTATTAAGAGGTGGCACTTAGAGGGATGGGGAGAGCGTTGCTGGCAAGACCAGCTAATGGGTCTGTCCTCTCGCAAGTTTGTTTTGTAGCATTCAGAGTGTTTTCAGAGATCTGAGTACCACAGAAGGTTCTCACTGGCTAGCTAATTCAATGTGTGTGTTTCATTGTGTCAAGAAAATCTCCCCTTGTGTTTTAACAGGTCCTTCCTGTCGCTTCAGAAGAGTTGGAGGGTGAAAGGTAAGAGCTGTGCTACTTCAGCCCCCGGACAGAGGAGGAAGTCTCTGTAATTGCACTGCTGCTAACTTTTTGCCCTGTCAATGACAGCTCCAACCTGAAGAGAGGAGCCTATATTGGTGAAGAGGACTTTATTGCTACTCCGAATAAAATGGCCAGAATAGAAGAGCCAAAAAGAGGTATTTTCTTCTTTCAGAGACTGCATTATTGAAGGACTTGTCCATCGTGATAGAAAAATATATCTGAGTTTAAGGAACTGTTTTAAGTGATTTTGCAGTAGACTTCGTCCTGATCTCTCTGGCTTTCGGTAGTAATAGGAGTTCAGGATGTAGTTCAGCTCCACAAATCTTTTGCAATGTCAGAATTTCTAGTTTTTTCTGCTATCTCAGAGACTAATAGGCTCTGAACTTGTAAGGAAGGAGAATCAGAGATGAACAGTTTACCAGACTCCTTGGTGGATTAGGGGAGAGAATTCGTCACCTAACCCACTACAGAATACTTTGGAAATCTTCTCTAGGGCATTAAGCAATGAATGCCAAAAGCCTGGTTCTGGGTGTAAAACTGCTTCATGTTTTATGATGTCAGAGAATAGGCTGCTCACCACCAAGAGCCAAACTAAGAGACTCTTCTGCTTATTTTTAACCTGTCATCAACCTTTGCAACTTGATGTGGGATTGGATGTTGCTGTGGTATTGTGGAAGGAGATAAGAGGTCCCTTTGGAGACAACATAGAGGTTTACCTGCCTGATGATGGTCGTGTGTGGAAGGACCACGACAAAGCTTAAAGGATTAAGAGAAGGATTAACCTTTGTGATGTGGCGAAGGTTAAGCCTAGCAAGTCTGACCTTAATGGGCTGCACTTCCATAGTCTGGCTAAACTAGTAAGGAAGGGTAGATTTTATAAAATGAAAATAGACCTTTTTTGTATTTTTTTTCTTTCCTTCTTGTCGTATGCCATAAAGTGACATCCATGGGATTCTCTCTCCTTTTCTGTTGTGTTATCTGACCTGTGCTGTAACTGAGAGTGCATGTGCTGTCCTTCATTTATTAAATCCACAGTCCTGCTTTTTTTTGCTTTTTTTTTTTTAAAACCTGTCTTTAGCAGAGGAAATCCATCAAGGTGCTGTGCTGTCCTGAGTTCACCTTGTTCAATTAGATAGGCCAGTAATTGTCCTGTGCTACAGGTGTGTCAAAGGTGTGGCTGATGAACCCCTGTAAACAATCCAGGCTGCAATACCTAGTCATTAGAAGATGGATTAAAGACAGCAAAGCTGTTGGAGTCTGAGCTTTCTTGCTCTCATGGCTTAGTCCTCAGCCTTAATGCAGTTTTTAATGAGGCTGACATTGCATACAATGACTCTCTGCTCGCTTGAGAACACTAGGGATGCTTACCTAATTTGGTTCCTTATTCTTTTGTTCCCCTCCTAGCAGGAGACAAGTCTGCATTATGTGTCAGCTGGGGTGGTATGAGCATGACTGAAATATGGCAAGGGGTAGGAAAAGAGATGAGACTGCGCGTGAGGAGCAGAGGACTGTACAAATAAATTATTTTAAAATGAGGAGGTGTCTAGGATGGCTTCACCTGCTGTGGTAGCATCTGTGAGATCATTTTATTCTGCAAAGTCTCATGGCAGATGACCTGTGAGAGAGCTTGCATTCCATCTCTCTGTGTTTCAAATGTAACCTTTTTTCAAATAGCCTTTCTTCAATGTAGAAAAAACAGCAAATGGAGACAAATGTGAAAGTACTTTGACAATAAAGTTGTTTGAGCGCACAGCATTTCTGTGTGCAGGAGTATGTTTTGAGCTAACCTAGCTGTGCATGTGATGCAGTCTTCAGCATTTGAATGTACATATGTATATCTCTTCATGATATCCTCAATGTATGTTATTCTGTACTTAGCCACTGTCACATACGGATTGTTTTCAAGGAGCAATTACGCAGTTAATTCCTCTCTCCGATTTGCTTTTCAGTGTTGCTGTATGTCCGGAAAGAGTCGGAGGAGGTCTTTGATGCACTTATGTTAAAGACACCGTCTCTGAAAGGTCTAATGGAAGCAGTAAGTAATCGGGCTGTTTTGTAGTTCTTGCTTTGAGAAAAAGGTGAGTGCAGTCCCTGGCTGTCCAGTCCTTGTACCCTGGACAGTTGCAGGAGCTAGACTCTCGATCGCAGCTTCTGTCCACATGTTACTGCTCTCCTGGGTAAGAAACGTAAGGCTGATTTCCTTTCACTAACATGGAAATTAATATGTAAGTAATGCTTTAATTCATTATTAAGGGGCTTCAGAAAGCTTCCCTTTAAAGTACTTGACACCTTACACCCAGAAGGCTGAGAAACACCTTACACCCAGACCCCACATTTGGGTGTAAGGTGTTTCTCAGCGTTCCTGGAAATCGAGGTGTGTCTGGGTTGATGGATGGATGGATAGCTGAGATGGTCCCAAAATGCCAGATGCTGCTGGAGAGAGAAGCACCTTCAAGGCTGGCTTTTATGCAGGCTCAGCTCTGGCCAAGCTGCAGATGCAGCTGTGTAGGTCTTTTGCTTCTTTTGTCAAAAGAACAGTCAACAGATTCCCATGGTGGATGTTCCTCTTATTGGAGAGGCTATTTTAATTAGAAAGTGGAGTGATTTCCAGCATGTGTTCTGTGGCTTGGGTTTATTTCAGCCTTTCAAAGCCTTGTTTAGGGGCCTTCCCTCCTCCTTCATAACCTGCTTGTGAAGCGCTCCAAGCTCCAGCTTCTGATTGTGCTTCAGGAGTTTTATGTATCTGTGCACATGTGCATGAAATTGCTCTCCGGTACTTGACTTCCAAAATCGCCTTCCACTGCCCCTGCTACTGCAGCGCCGCAAAGGAAATACAGGGCTTAACTCTGAGGAATGGTGTAATGTTTGGCACGAGCTCAAAACTGACGTTACTGGCTGTCGCTTTCTGTGACTAATGCCTAGTTGATGCTCAAAGGACAGAGGCTCTGGGGCTTGTCATGGTTTAACCCCAGCTGGTAACCAAGCACTGCACAGCCACTCGCTCACTCCTCCTCTCTGCACCCCACCTGCACCCCGCTGCCCTCCAGTAGGATGAGGAGGAGAGTCAGAAAAAAAGAAACGTAAGAACTCCTGGGTTGGGATAAGAACTATATAATAATAATTGTAATGAAAAGGAATATAACAACAAAGAGTGAAATAAAACTCAAAAGTACAAGTGACGCACGGTGCAATCACTCTCTACCCGCTGACCAATGCCCGAGCAGTGATCCACCTCTTCTGGTCAACTCCCCCCAGTTTATATACTGGCTGTGACGCCCTATGGTGTGGAATATCCCTCTGGCTAGTTCGGGTCAGCTGTCCTGGCCATGCTTCCTCCCAGCTTCTTGTGCGCCTCCTCGCTGGCAGAGCTTGGGAAAGCCCTTGAGTTGGGAGGAGCAACAACTAAAATATCACTGTGTGATCAACATTATTCTCACACTAAATCAAAACCGCAGCACTGTACCAGCTACTGGGAAGAAAGTTAACTCTGTCCCAGCCAAGACTAGGACAGACTGCACAGCTGGATCTTGCCAATGGTGGTTCTGTAACCTGAAGCTCAGTCCTGACTGTGGAGCTTTGCCTTAGAGGACAGACTGGAGCTGCGGGTTAGTGGGGAAGGGGAAGGCTGTGAAGTCATCCCTTACCCATTGGTCCTGAAGTGAGCTTTGACTCCTTAAAGCAGGGGAGCAAAGGCTCACAACTGTAGCTTGGAGGAAACCCCGTGCGCTTTTGCATTCTGAAATGGCTTCTTGGTTTGGTGCCTTCTGTCGGTGTGACTGAGCAATTTGCCAAAGTAAACCAGGACTGGGCTACTGACCTCATGACGTTCTGGAGGTCTGTACGGTGAAGTGTTATGGTTGGAAGCCATGGTTTCACGCTGAAGTCACTCTGCAGGGTAAGGGGGACATTTCTGATCAGCTCGTGTCCTTAGCAGCAGAGGTCTTGGCTCTGTTGCTATTTTTTTCCTGCCCGAGCTACTGTGATGGCTGTTTTCACCTGATCCCTTTGACACTTAGCGTATCAAAATCCATTTTTAAATTAAGCGAACAGAGAGCCAAGAGAGGAGGAGAAGCAGAATGTGGGGTGTTTGGGTTTTGGTTTTTTTTTTTTTTAATATGTGGACTTTCTGGGGTGGGAGCAGGGGGTTGCTGTGTGTGACGTCAGTGGTTAAGTTTAGAACACAAAAGTTGGCAAACTGCAGAGGAGGTTTTTCTCATCTGTAGCCTTACGCTATAGTTCAGGATTTAGTATTGATTTTATAGAGCAGAGCAGTTGTTCTCGCCTGCAGACCTTTCTTTTGTTTCTTTCTGTGAAGTAGTAAGTCATAGGCAATGCCAGCAGTCTCCTTGATTTACCAGTGCTTGCTTTCTTTTGTTTCAGATATCTGACAAGTATGATGTTCCTTTTGATAAAATTGGAAAAATCTTCAAAAAATGTAAAAAAGGGTGAGTATGCAGCAATTGCATGAAAATGAACTCCTTTTTTTTTTTCTTTTTCTGAAGCTGTAGACACAACTGCTTTATAATTCCTCTGTGCACTGCACAGATGCAAATGCTATTTGCAAATGTGCGTGTGTGCACACACAACATGCTGGTCCTATTCCGGTGTCATTCATAGAGCAGAAGACCAGAAGGGTCCTATAAGAATATGTAGTCTCACATCCTTGGTAAATATAAGTCACAGGACCTCCCTGAGTTAATTGTTGTTTGAATCATGTCAGGGGAAGAAGAGTTCAGTTTGTTTAAAGACTCTCAGTGACGAAGAACCTACTTTAACCCATGTTAAATTGTCCCAGTGGTTAGCTGTACTCGCCATGTCTACATTTAGCTACAATTACTAAACATGGTTTTCTTTTTTCTGCTGAACTGAAGAGAGCTTTACTTGTAAAGTACTCATTCCCCACAGAGGCCACAATTTGCGGTCCTTTTATTTTGTAACATAAATAATTGAGTTCCTGAGCATGTCCACTTTGGATTTTCCTTTTAATATCTCGGTAGTTTTGTTGTTGTTTTCTCTAAAGTCACTTCAGTGTCTTTGCCCCTTCCCCAAAGCCCCTCTGGCTGGAAAAATACGTCCTTTAATCACCTTTGAAATGTAGTTTTAACGCTTGTGCTTTCATAACAGAATTAACCCACTAGAATAACTGGAAAAAATTTGAATTGGTGATGGCTAAACCACTGCTAAGGGCAGCACACAGACACACAGGTATTTGACTGTTCCAGCAGTTGAGGTGGTCAGGCATCAGCTCTTTCTTCCCTTCAAGCTCCGTAGGGCTTTGTGCTGATTGTTTATAGCTGCCAAACAAACCAATTCAGAGCCCCGAGCTTGCCCAAGTTGCAGATTCAGAAGGATTTCTACAAGTTCCAAGATCTTCTTCCCTCCCTGGTCCAGGAGCAAAGGCTTAACCCTTTCGTTCAGATTCTAGAAGTACGACTGCAAGCCTTGGGGACAGGTTAGGGTAGGAACCGCTAGATCTGCCATAGGAAGTAATGGGTTGGAAATAGGTGAGCAGGGACTTTGCGTTACCTCTAGTTGGTCCAGGCTCTCTGAGGCTTGAGGGTACCATTCCTGTCTTTGGCATTTAGAACTGTAATATTTCCCTCACTTACTGTTTTTTCCAGAATTCTGGTCAACATGGACGATAACATTGTGAAACACTATTCCAACGAAGACACCTTCCAGCTGCAGATCGAAGAAGTTGGAGGATCTTACAAGCTCACTCTCACTGAGATTTAAGCTAACTGATTTCAAACAAAGGTCTCAAGTGAACATTTTTTTCCATAATTTAAGATGTTGGGTAAAACACTAATCGCCTTCTCCAGAAGAAAGCCACGTGTTGACTTGTTCTGGGGAGCAGAGCAGTGTTTTTGCTTAATACGTTTGTGTTCCTGTTCTTTCCAAAGAACACTGTAATGCTCATGACTTTATTTGCACTTGAAATGAGCGAGCAAAGATCGATGATTAAATAGAGAGCATGTATAAAACACTAGTAAATACGAGAGGGGAAAACTCCTGGAAGGTGGCCTTTTAGAGTGGTGATATTTATCTATTCAATATCCATGTTTGAGCCCGTTAACAGCTAATACCATTTTATTGGACTGTTTTCTACTAGGTAGAGCTGCAAAACTACTAGTTGATACTAGTAGGAATTGCATGCAGGTTGGAGAAAAGTCTTTATTATGTTTACTCTTGAACAGGGCAGACTGTTGAAATCATTCGTATCGTTTGGGGGGGGAATGTAAAACTGCCTTGCTTATGAAGAACTCACCTTAGTAACTGTGTGAACTCTCATCAGATGAAGCTACATTGTATATAAGTGCAATATATTTTTGAAGGTTTGTAAATGTGTACATACAAGTGATATAATATATATAAAATACGGTGTTCTGTATATACCGTGAATATATGCAATGAAGCCCATCTAAAAGGATGCCATATACAGAGAAAACAGGTATTTAACTTAGCTATTTAAAAATGGACAAACCCTAAACATGCACCAAAGGTGAGCACGTTTGTACTTTCATAGAAGGTACAAGAGACCTGCTTGTTGAACATGGATCTTCCTGCGTGGAAGGAAAAAGGCACCAGCTCCCTCCTAAACCCCCCTGCACAGCTGGGTGACGGCAGTCCTGGCTTCTCTTGGGACCTACCAGTTTGAGCCCCAAAATGGCTGAGTTCTGCTGCCCTGGGAGGTGATTTGGGCCAAGCCTGAGAGCTGGGTCCCCAGCTCTGCTGAGCAAATGCAGTTTATTTGAAATCTTACTTCTTAGGATCAGGAAGAAGGTCTCTTGGAGGGTGGATTTTTTTCTGTAGCAATGTACTTCAGGCTCAGCTGAACACTGCTCAGCCTGGATGAACCCATGGGTCAGAGCCACCTTGCAGGGTCCTAGGATGTTGACAACTGGAAGTGCACAGGCAAGGCTTTTTAGAGAGGAGGGTGGCATCCTGGTGCAGGAGGCTATTAGGGGAGACGAGGGGTGCAAGTCGGTTACGTGTTTCTGGCATGTGTACATTGCTAGGCACTGACCCGCTGCCAAGGTGGAGAGACCAAACAGGCAGCTGTTAGCAGGTGTCCAGAGCCTATCCCCAGCTGGGAGTGCCCAACACCTCCAAAAAATACTGCTTTGCAGTAGATTTGTACAGTATTTACTCATCACGTGCATGTGCTTATGAAGGAAATGCACCCTCTGGTTAGTAGCAAGTGAGAGAGGAACATGTAAACAGCAGCACGTGACTCTAAGGCAGAAACCTGAACTACAGGGTGAGGAGATGAGCGTGAGTACCAGGTCCATTGTCTTTGAGTGCCTTTGTTAAGGATCTGGATAATGAAAGAGAGGTTTTTATAATATTCTCAGCACAAAGCTGGGAAGAGCTGCGTGTGCCTCACCTAGGACATGAAGGTCATTCTGGCCAGGCTGGAGAAATGGCCTGGAAAAGTAGGGTATGATTCTACTTAGTGGTTAACGGTTCTACTTAATGGTTAACAAATGGTAACTGAATATTTGTCAGCTGTATCACGCTGCTGTTGGGAAGAGGGAAGCAAATGCCATGTTGAGTTGATAGGAGCATGGCCTGCAAGAAATGGGAGACCTGCCTTTTGCTCTACTTGGCCTTGCTGAGGCGTCTGCTGAAGCACTGTGCCCTGCGCTGAACCCGGTCCTTCGGCCAGAGCTCGTGGCTTCTGAGGAGGAAGGGCTGGATGAGTTGCCCAGTGAGGGGTCATCTTCAGAAGGGAAGGCTGAGGGGAGCAGCCTCCCAGCAATGCGGGAGCATTCTCACGGTTCTTTGCAAGCACAGGAAGTAGTGGGTGTAAATTGCAGGAATTTGGGTTGGGTATTTAGACAGTTTTCTCTAGTGAGAAGAGCAGGTTGCCCAGGAAGGCAGTGGAGTTCAGCACTGGAGGCCTCCAGAGCCAGGCTGGGCAAAGGCGTCCCTGGACTGTTACAGGTATAGTCAGTTCTCTCTTGGTGCTGAGACTAGGTGACCACTTCAAGTCCTTCCCTGCTGTATTATTTTTAAGGATTTATATGAAATATAATATTTTGGGACTTGTGTTTGGACTAATCCTGAGCTGGTTTATAGACTACTCCATTCCTCGCTCCTTCCTCCTCCTCTGTTGATGGGCAGCGTAGATGCTTGCCGATGCCCTGGGCACCACATGCTCCCTTCTTCGCTCTGTGGCTGGAGTCAAGCAAACTCTGCCTGGGTGCATCCATAACTGTGGGCCTATGGATGGGGCACGGGGGCTCGAAGCCGAAGGAGAGAAGCAGGTGTGTGGCACGGTGCTGGAGACACTTGGCCAACATGTGCCACCCTGTACTGGAATCCACCACCTGCAGAGCAGCCACAGGACTTGTATCTGGCCAACACCAACCTGCCACTTGGGCTTCCTTTCATCAGTCGTGGGAATGTTACTATGGCAAGGGAATTTTTTTTTAAAAAAAAAACAAACCTGATATAGAGAATGCATATATATATTTACACATTTTTATTGAAAATGGAAGTTTTATTACAGAAACTCAGTCTAGGGTCAGGGAAGTAGATTTAGAGTCTCCATAGAGGTAAGATTGATATGAACGTTAATTCTTTTTACTGCTTAATGAAGTATGTGAACTAAGCCTGACAATTGTTTTCCACTCTAAGATATTCTGGGACACGGGTCTTGTTACAGTAGCAGCAATGTCATATATGTTTTATGAAACTGATTTTTTTTGGTTTGCCTGCTGTTTTTTAATGGAAATTGTATTTTAAACCAAGCTATTAAATTTTATATGTTCATTTCTAATGCTGAGTCTTTTATATCGTAAACACATCTGCTCTTACCCCTTTATTTTTCCTTTGACAGGAGATCTATGAGACGAAACGTCAGGGATCATTTTCTAGCTTCTCTCCTTTGAGGAAGAGCATAATCCCAATGCCAGTCTTTCTGTTATTCCCACATAAGACGCAGTTATTGGCCCCATTCTCATTCTCTGCTTAATTTCAACTGACCTCATTCATTTTATCAGTGTGGGGAAGCTGTGTAGCATTTTATTCCTGTAGGACCCTTTCCTCTGGCAGCAAAACAAAACTCACCAACCATGGGTGAGCTCAGGTGTGTAGTGGGTGGGGTGATGCCTGATGGTCTCTAAAGGAGGTTGAGCAAAAAGCACGGGGGGCATTCCCAGTGCAGCAGCAGAGGGGGTCTCCCACGGCTGCACGTAGGGAGAGGAGAGCTGTGGGCTCACAGCAGTGCTGGGTCCAAGGTGCTTCATGTAAAATTGCCATCCTGGGATTGCTATGGATGTCTTTCCAGGAGGAGCTGGTTGTCACTCGCACTGGGCTGTGCTGGTGACCAGTGGCGAAGCTGCAGGCGTTGACTTTTCTCATAAAAACACTCAGCTGAAGTTCATGCTAATTCTCCAGAATAATCCTAATGCCACTGCTGCTCTAGTGCGTGGAGAGGTGTTCACCTCCTCTTTTTCACTGTCAGAAAATGTCTCTACAAGCTTTTGATTTAGCTGGCTCCCTCGCCCCTGAGCAGGGGTCGCAGGGTGCTGCCCCAGGGTAGCTTCTGCACCAGCACCGTCCCAGGCGCTGGGCTTGCATCAGCATGCCTGGGGCTTGATGGGAAGTGGTGTGGGTGGCAAAATATTTCTGGGCTAGAAAAAGGCTGGGAATACTATTTATTTGTGGTTCTTGTACAGGCCCTGCTCACAGAGTTTGTGTCCCAGATGTAGAAAGATGCTGCAGGACTTCACCTGACGAGTCATGGTGTGCCCTGGGTGAAGCAAATTTTCTGGGGGATGCTAAGTGTCATCTGCACCTGCATCAGTGCTTGCTGAAAGACTGAGCAGGGTTTAGCCCCTGTAGGGTTATTTTGCAGCACAGTGGCCACCTTGCAGCAAACCTCAGTGTGAGGCTGGATCTGCTGTAGGGTCAAGTGGGAGACAACCTGCTGCCCCCTCTCCTCGGGGTGTGCAACAACTTTGTCTTCCCAAACCTTTACGTGGTGTGCACGTGTGTGCCTGTGCCAGCCCTCTCCTCTTCCTCCTGCCAGCCCCTGTGCCCTTTTCTCTTCAAATGACTTTAAATAAAGTGTGATTTTAAGCACGTCTCATGTCCAGTGAGGTGTCAGTGAATGAAAGTTGAGCTCCCGAAGATCATAGAATATTTTAGAGGTTGGAAGGGACCTCTAGAGATCATCCAGTCCAACCCCCCTGCCAGAGCAGAATCCCCATGGGCAGCCACACAGGAACGCGTCCAGGTGGGGTTTGAAAATCTCCAGAGGAGGAGACTCCACAACCTCTCTGGGCAGCCTGTGCCAGGGCTCTTGTCACTCTCACAGTAAAGAAGTTTCTCCTCGTGTTGAGGTGGAACTTCCTATGTTCTAACTTAAACCCATTATTTCTTGTTCTTAAACCTATTATTCCTTGTTCTGTTGCTGGGCACCACTGAAAAGAGATTCTTCTTGACACCCACCTCTCAGATATTTCTATACATTAATAAGATTCCCTCTCAGCCATCTCCTTTCAAGGCTAAACAGCCCCAGTTCTCTCAGTGTCTCTTCATAGGAGAGATGTTCAAGTCCCATAATCATCCTCGTAGCTCAGCCTTGCAGGGAAGATCCATGCTGCTTCCCTGGAATGTGACTCAGGGCTCTAGTATCACAAACATCTAGTTAAGATTTTAACATCTGATCTCTTTTAACATGGGAGAGCTGAATTTTGTCTATTAGTTGCAAGAGGTGGTTTTTT